CGATGCTTTTGTATGGCGCATAGACCCGTCTATTGTCCCTCTGTTGCAATTGACTTGAAGTTGTGGAATTTTGTTTATAATCTGAATTGTCACAAAAGAAGCTTCTAGTAGATTAGTTTACAGATAATAAGAATATGCTTCATATATTAATTGGATATTCCACAGATAAATACAAACATGCACAATGATAACTTCTTTGGAGACACTCATGTATGAAAATTAACCTTGTATCCAATGATGGGTACATTTCATAACAGTAGGCTCCTTATTATAGAATCTTTAAATTGGTCCTCTGGTGTTTTCATTGGTGAATTCACCTGTAGATCACCTCTTGTGTTTGCCCTTCTGTCTTCCCTGTATAAATCATTGATTGTTTTGGTTGTATTTTCTTGAATTATTCCAGTTGAGGTAGCCTAACAAATACATGCTGATCCTACAATGCTCTTAAACTTAATTCAAGCAAAATGTATCTGTTTTGACAATAAAGAACAGGTAATTAATTAGTAGAAGTAGGACAAGATGCAGAAAGCAAAGCCTGTCCAGGGTAGGCCATACTACAAGGATAATAAAATAAACTGGGGTTTCCATGCTTTTTAGCAGCATCTGTCTCTAGAATAATAAAGATAAAAATATTTGTTAGTTCGGGACCACAGAAAAGTAGTCTTTATTTAATTAATTGGAGATGGTCTTTAATTGGAGATGGTCTTCAATTTGAGTGGTCTTTAATTGGAGGTAGTCTTTAATTGGAGGTGGTCTTTTATTGGAGGCGGTCTTTAATTTGAGTGGTCTTTAATTTGAGTGGTCTTTAATTGGAGGTGGTCTTTAATTTGAGTGGTCTTTAATTTGAGTGGTCTTTAATTGGAGGTGCTCTTTAATTTGAGTGGTCTTTAATTTGAGTGGTCTTTAATTGGAGGTGGTGTTTATTTGGAGGTGGTCTTTAATTTGAGTGGTCTTTAATTGGAGGTGGTCTTTAATTTGAGTGGTCTTTAATTGGAGGTGGTCTTTAATTTGCGTGCTCTTTAATTTGAGTGGTCTTTAATTGGAGGTGGTCTTTAATTGGAGGAGGTCTTTAATTTGAGTGGTCTTTAATTTGAGTGGTCTTTAATTGGAGGTGGTCTTTAATTGGAGGAGGTCTTTAATTTGAGTGGTCTTCAATTTGAGTGGTCTTTAATTGGAGGTGGTCTTTAATTTGAGTGGTCTTTAATTGGAGGTGCTCTTTAATTGGAGGTGGTCTTTAATTGGAGGTGGTCTTTAATTTGAGTGGTCTTTAATTGGAGGTGGTCTTTAATTTGAGTGGTCTTTAATTGGATTAACTAAACGTTTGATGTTTACTGTCTTCACGATCACTAGGCCTAGGCCTATTTTGTGTTTCTCTCATGGTATTTCGTTAGCCTTGTAAAAACAGGGTAAGCTGCAAACTGACGGCAAACGACGGGTAATCATGTATTGTTAATGTGTCGCGTGTTCGACGCTGATTTGATTCAAGGTGTCTGGTCAATGAAGTCTATAATGTAGTGAGAATGTTTCTTCAAGTTGAGGGCAGATGTTTTGTGTGCGGTGGTGCGGTGCTAGTTCACAAGGCCGACATTTTTTTGACAAGCACGCGATTGCTATTGAGAAAGGAGAAGCACCGCGCTGCATCGTCGGACATTTACCCCAAGAGAACTCGAAGATATTTCATTTCTTTTTGAAACACAAGGAATTATTGATGTTCAAATAACCAGCAACAAACGAAGGAACAGCAAAATAGCAAGAGGCCTGGAGATACCCTGCACATTAACTTGTTCCTCTACAAATAAAGAACTTATTGACTGTTTAAAGCAGCTTGCTTAGGTAATTTTTTATTTTACAATTCACCTCTAGTAAACGCCCCCCCCCCTTTTAAAAAAATGCAACGCCCCGGGACGTTTATTAGACATTACGGTAGGTATTTTCCCAAGAAGCTTTCTGTATTCTTGTGCCTACCGTAGGTTTCTCAATGAGTAGTTCTGCTAACTAATTTGCTTTGCCTCTGCCTGTCTTTAGCCCACTTGAAATGCCTTAATCCCTCTGCCGGTAACTAGGTAGAACCTCTTTATGCTAATAAATTCTTTTAAACTTTTTTTCAACTCAGTGGCGTACGCTAATCTTGCTTAAAGTTACGCTAACATAACTGTTTGTGTCTGAACATTTTAATTCAATTTTATTTTAACTCAGCTGGCAGCTTTAAACGCTGAACTACATGAGAATCTTTAATAAATTTATAAATAAACAGAAATACTAAAACTGTAAAACATAAGATTGTAGAAGTTATTTAGGTAAAACATTTTAATAGCCTAATACTTCTCATAATGTAGGTTTACACCAGTACCAACTTATAATTTTTAGTCATCTGTAATATTTGTCTTGGAAGAGAAAGTTCAATGGACATCTGTGTTTAGATAGAGTCAAAGTACTGTACCTTTCAATACATCTTCTTAGAAATGTTATATTAACACTTTAAAACATAACCTTATAATTTTTACAAAACAGAGCAACAAATGTGTAGTCATCTGTTTCTGTAAAATTTATTATTTGTATTTTGGTTCTTTTATAGCTTCCTTTGCATTGCCATGGTCGGTGTTCTGGTGTTTTTCGTATTCTTTTTGAGAGTTAATGTACCAAAACATGATTTCTTTCATCTTCAGCCTTCCAAACATTCCATTCAATAAAGTAGCTCCATTGATACTGTATTTAATATGGTTCATTTATTCACCGTATTGTCATGTAATTTTGTTGCTGTGATTATTGCCAGCAATTGAGATGTACTGCAGTCTTCCAATGAAATAAATAGTAGACTTCCTGGGGTTAAATAAAAATTGAAATAAAAAAAAAAAATAAAATAAAAAAAATCACAAAAATTTACTGAGAATCTAAGTAAAAGTTTAATGTAGGGCTTTCATAGAAACAAGGTACTAATATATAATAAACGGTTTCTAAGTGTGACCCTATGAGCTTGACTGGCGACCGGTGTGCGGTAGTATTACCTGGTAATTGTTGAGCATTTCCTGTGATGTCATCAGTGTGGCTTTTCTGATTGGCAAGCTTGTTTAACACTTCACTTTATTGAGGTAGTACGGAAGTAGTTTTGCCCAGAAAAGCCGGTAGTGTTTCTACCAACAAGGATTTTAAAAACTATGGGCTGAACTCTAATTGTTTGCCACCCCCACAAATATGTAAGAATGAATACGCTTTATTGTTTTTCTTTCAAAACAGAGGCTTACTAATATGTTCAAGTGTTCACAATTATATTCTACACAAATATATGCTAGTTTAGTTTTAACCAAATAAGGAATGGTAATACAGCTTCCTGAAATTATTCTACTGGTGGTAGTGAGTTTTGTTTCATAACTACTTTCGTTCATTCATAATTTTATGTTGTCATCAGCATTACATTTCAATAATAGGCCTAAGCTTAAATCATTATAAAACAAAATTGTAAGTATGAATTATAAAAAATATACAAACAAAATAAAAAGAAATTATGCAAAATAGGTTAACATTATAGTATGCAAATAAGATGAAGAAAGCTTACAAATATATATACAGGGGGTAGGTATTGGTCTTTGATCCTATTCATCTTGTAAGGTCTTTGACATCTGTAAGCAAATAAATCAATACAATTATAGTGAATCCAATATCTTATCAATGACTAACTACAGTACTTGAATATGTGACTTTTGTGATTACAGTAGATACCATTATATTTAATTTAAAAATCAGAAAATCCTAATCACACATAGATAACTGGCGTCCATTTAAATATACATTACATTGCTTATTCAGTTTTCTTTTAAGTTACTCCCAGTTGATAAATAATTCAGTTATAATCTATATTGTTGCATATGCCCAAAATATATGTTTAAGTAATAGTGCCCCTTTGTATCTTCAAAAGTTTCATAATATGTACGAGCCTTGATTGGCACATTACTTCATATTCCACGTACTTGTAACGACTGTTGGTGATAAATCTTTTTCAAACTATGAACCAAAATTATGGACCGATTTTTCCCCTGTCATCCATCTTCAACCTACTCTTGATTCTTTTAAAAAGACACTGAAAATTCACCTACAAATGTAAATATCATCATTGGATGACCTACGAATGGACCTGGACCTGAGTTTATGATGTGTTTTGAATAGTTTATGGTGTTGTCTGCAATTTGCTTTGTTGTGATGTTAAAGCGCAAATAGCACTCAGTATTAGTGAGATAAACGAGTTGGGGAGTGGGCAACTTGAATGTCAAGGTGATGCAAATGCTGCGCAAGGGATCTGTCTTGTCTGTCTACCACTGCCTTTACAACATTCTTCAGAGTCAGTTTATTTCCAACAGCTCATAATTTTTGAATGATTTATTTAGTAGTAGGCCTATTCAGTACATACTGTAGTAATTCAGAAAATTTGACTTGAGTAGGTTGGGTTGACAAGCCTATGTTTGATCAGATAATTGGCTACTGTATGTTGCCTCCTAATCTAACCAAATAAATGAACACATTGACTGCCAGACCTTTTTTTAAAGGTTCCTTCCCGTGTGGCAAAAGGCGATTATGTAAAAACATACTTTTTTGAAATTTTATCAAGTCATATATCATCAAAATGATTTGTCTAATAATTTGGCTGGAAAATATTAGGGGACGGGAAACTCTATCAAAAAAACATCCTGTGGGACGAGTATGCTCGTCGCTGGCAGCCAACGTATTAAGTATTAAGTGGGTTGGGTTGCCAAGCCTATGTTTGATCAGACAATTGGCTACTCTTGTGGCAACCAATCTAACCAAATCTCTGTCTCATAAGTAAAAATTCAGTCAGTTAAACATATGCACATTCAATTCAACATCAAAATATCTTTTGTGTAGCATTATGATAATCATCTTGTTACTTTTCTTTAAATGTTAAATCATTTTATTCAATTAATTAAATTTGTTGGATATTTACCTGTAATATGTTTGTGTTATTAATTTTTTTTATTATTTAATTTCAGATCGAGAAGATCAGTCCATCCTTTGCACGTAAGTAAATTATCATACAAAATCATCCTAGGTTCGCCTTTTTCTACACCCTTTTTCCTTTTCTCATCCTTCCTTCCTTTACTACATCCTTCTTCCTTTATTTCATCCTATCCTTTCTTCCTTTCTCTGCCAGATTTAGAATAACTTTTAATTAGCCAGTTGGTACAAAGTTAACTAGACATAGGCCTACTTGCTTAACAGCCCAGGTTGAGTGCTCAAAAACACTTAATAGATAAATCATTTTTTGTTATTTTTCTTTAAAATCACTCGTAAACCAAGAGAGATTTTAATGTAAGGAGCCAGACTGTGTTTTTTTTTATCTTGTGCAACACGCCCTACTACTGTAATACTTATGAACCCAAATCAAGGACCCTACACATCAGATCGTTTTCCTGGTTCTAACACCCATTGCGACATTTTTAGTGGTTTTTTGGACTCTACATGGACTTCCCTCTTGAAATTATTGTTTCAATGAAAGAAAAAAAATACAGTAATCCTACTCTAGTCCTACCTATCAATAACCAGGGTCATGACCTTGTCTATTATTGAAAAAATAACAATGGATCATTCAGGTTTAGTAGAATTGTCATACACAGGTCCTGTTCTATAGAGTAACATTTATTACCTTCAACATAAAATTGCTAATCTTTTCAAATGATTGATCTGACCTATTATATTTACATTATTTGGTAGTAACGGTGAAGCTATATCTTGTCGTATTACAATATATACATTTTGAAAAACCGACAGGTCCACTGATTAATCTCAGATAAGATAGTATAATACATACTCCAAGTATCGAAATGCATGCCATCATGTCGGGATTCAATATTTCGACATTAATTATGTCATCATTAGGAATACATTTTGATTGTGGCATTTTTGTTTTACTGTATAGCTTGTGAAAATCAGCATTATAAAGTTTGAAATATTTACTCATGAAGGCTTACATTCTTTAAGGGGTTTTTTTTTTCTTACTCTATGATGACTAATATAATTGAAATTAAACTATTACTGAACTTTGTTGGCAATAAAGTATACAAAATGCCAACCTCTGAAATCTTGTATAGTATAAGCAGGTTCAGTCATATTGTAATATGACTGCTTCCTAAGTTACTATACGTTATAGTCCCTATAAGTTAACCAGATTTTGTTGACTTATTGTAGAGACTTCAAAGGAAAGGTGCAATATAAATGCACTATACTGTATCTGTATTAGTACCACCAACTGATCATTAGGAACCATTAATAATGCTTAGTATTTTACATGCGCTAAATCAGATGCCATCAAATTGTGGAGTTTTTGGTTATGAGAAATATGCAAAAAGACTTTTTTCTGGATCAAAGGCATATTTACCACCATACCACCCGACTTCTCTGCTACTGTATAATCTAAAAATCAGATAAACAAATTTTTAAAAGTTAAATTAAAATCAGTTATAATTTTTATAGATTTTCTCTTGACAATGCGGATGTTACAGGAATAGGATATCAATATTTACTTCGAAAAAGGAAAAATATGTATTTGGATATTAACAAGTACTTGCATGATGTTTATGAAATTTGTCATCTAATGTGTAATTGTAGTTTAATAAGGAAATAACTCTTATAAAGTAAAGTGAACTATACACAGATCTGGTGGCATTTTGTTAAAACTTATTGCAGGTAGGTAATAAAAATTCATAACAATTTCCTGGTTTTATTATTACTTTTATTATTATTATCCACCATATTCAAAAGGTGTGTCCTTCCGCATTTTAAATCCTATTACAGATCAATCCGGATCTTTGTCAACATTTATACTGTTAGTTATAGAAAGAAGAATGTCAGGTGCCTATAAACAAGTACACTTTTTTTTTATAAGAACCAGTAAAATTTTGCCCAGGCTCAGTGTTCTTATTTTTTGGCCGATTTCAGGCTCAAAATGTTCTTATTTTGTTCTTAGTTTCAACATCTTTTAAACAAAAAATTATTTAATTGTACGGCAGTATGCACTGTACTGGAATGTGAAAGTGACCCCACAAAAAATGGCCCCCAAATATCAAATAGGTATACATACTACTGTACTGTATTATAGAGAGTATTACAGTCACACCTACTGCACATAATGTACAGATATAATATTTTGGTTTTTAAAAATATAAACCTCATTTGAAATTTTACCTCAGCCTCAATTTGTTCTTATTTTGTTCTTAATTTTTAAGCAATTTCAGCCTCAGTGTTCTTATAAAATTTGTTCTTATAAAAAAAAAGAAGTGTAAATCAAAGTGAATGAAGTGAGTGGTAATGAAATAATGTACTGCAAAGAAAAGCATATTAGAAAGTGTTTACTGGTAATTGTTGTCTTGCGTGTTCATACAAACAAGCTCTAATAGCCTGATGTTGTTTTATGTTTATTGTTCTTGTTGCGTATGGTGTTGATAGGATCTGGGATTAGCTTTACCCAGGGTCGTGATGTAGACATTCCTAGTTTGACTGACCCCCAGCTTATTAGTAAATATGCTTGACTGCACCTACCATGATTTTAAGTTCAAATCCCCAAAATGGCATGATTTGTTTCCATGGTAGTGAGATATTATGATAGAAGGAAGAGGATGTTCAGAATATTCGAGATATTCAATCGGAAGAGAAAACACTGTAGCTATGACAACAAGAAACATTTGGCACAAGACTAGGTGGCATGATCTTGTGAATTATTTTGTTGTATTCCTCAGTGACGAACAGGCAGGTTCAATGGGGTGGAGGAGAGGGGGAGGTGGTTAGCCAGCCTGGGCCCTCTAAATTTTTCAAAATGATGAAAAAATGGAGAAAAAAAGAAAAATATTTTTAAAATTTAGTCTGACCATCTGTTCAAGAGATGTATAATCACAAATTCCTTCCTGGATCCGCCACTCAAAGAACAATTATGTCCTCCACCCTCCACAAAAAAAGATGATGCCATGATAAATGTATTATAAATTTAGTTGACCCAGTAAAGATCGAAGGGGTGTAACATTATGCTAAATCTGTCCTAAGTAAAAATAGGGAAATTTTTTTAAAGAGGGGCCATTTTGTTCTGTTGCACTTGCACTAGACATAATACAGGTACTTGTTGAATTATATAATTTAACACTTGTCATGTGTTTAAAAATCGGATTGCAAGCATGCACCATGTTGTTTCGCAGGCCAATGCTACTTAAAATTAAGATCCTCCTGTAGGTAGAATCCATAGATGAGATCCAATATTGAGCCTGTCGTTCTCAATTTGTAGAGCCCGTTGTCAGATGGAAAAATCCAATTACACTTTGAAGAGCAAATTCTGTGGTGTTAGAAAAATGAATGTATAAGGTAACTTGATAATACTGTTGACCTTTGGTAACTAAATAGTAGAAAGTACAGTATTGTGTAAGCTGTTAGATAGCTGCTTTGTACTTATCTACCAGACCTTAGATTTTAGGTTCAAACTCTGCTTGCAGGGCTCTGTGATCTATGCGGCAGTCTCCCAGTAAGCAAGCATGAATGTCCCTGAAAATAACCTCTCCTGTTTTTATTACTTTATTATCAATTGCCTCACGGAAGTTGGTGCCGATGGGTATCTCCATGCACACAAAAATAAAATTAAATATGTTAAAATAGCTCATTTAATCGCATCTCCCGGAAGAGATTTCTTTCAACTTCAGACCACTGAATTTAGTTTAGTTCATTTCTTGATTAGTGTCACATTCTCAATACTGAAATGTCTAGCAAACTTTATATTTGAAAGTCATCCGTGGAAGGTGAAAAATAAATTTAAAACTGAAATAATTATTGGTGTGTGGCTGGTATTTGCAATAGAGTGTTTAAAATTTAACCCTCCAATGATACTCAATCACACCTTCATTCAAGCACAGACAGACAGTGGAGGTGTGTCAATTTGATTTAGTGAAAATATATGCAAACAACTGCAGGCTAAGAGAAGAACAGTGTCTACGGTAGCTTATTCTTTACAGAATTGGTATTGTCACAGAACATACAACAAGAATACGCACTTCGTACAAATTTGTAAAGTTAAATTATAGTGACTTTGCAAGGACAAAAAATGACCTTGTAACGGGAAGAAAAGGGTGCACGATTCCTGCTCTTCTTCCCATCTACCTCCAATTAGTTTTAATATTGAAAGATTTGTATCTGTAGCTGTTATTAATGATTTCTTCAAACAATGCTTCAGTGTCGTAGAAAATTCACTTCACATCATATCAATTTTTTTTTTACTCCTCCGTAACCTGTCGTTAAAAATAGTTTACGTGCGTGAGCCACAGCTTTGTGGATCTGCCTAAGGCACGTTGTTTCCATCTGGAATACAATCTCACCAGTCATGAACAGAAGCATGAAGAAAAAAAAACACGTTTTTTTTATATTTATTTGACTTTCCAAAACTTGAGTGGCCGTTATCCTTGTAAATAGTGGCAAAAACAATTTATTATTATAATGTAGGTAAATAGTAAAATAATGATAATGATAAATTAGCACACATTTGCACAGGTGAACAATGTTTATCTTTTGCTAATCCGACCTGTAAAATTCTCTTTCATCTAAGCTCAGACTTGTTTTTGATATTCAAGAATTTAAAGCTCTTCTCAAAACTGATTTTCTCTATGTACAGTAAACCCAAGTGTCGAACGATAGTTTTAACCTGCGCTATTTAAATTATACAATTTATTTATTTATTTGTTATTAAAATAGTACAGATGACCAGTCAACATAAAGTTTTATAGTAACTAAACCAGTGTTTGATAGATATAGTTACTTCATCTATATAAGTATACTCTTGTTAATTCAATTTTGTAAACACAGCTGTACCATATATACCAAAGCTCTAGCAACGTTATATTTTTTACTAATAAACAGCTTCCTTCCTCTAGTAAAGCAAGTCTTATCATGGCCGTCATATAATTTTTTAGTGCATTTTTTTTTATGACACTTTGCTTTTTGAGTGAAAGTTAGTGATGGTCCCCTATTGTGAGCTGACTGGTTCATTACTTAGAAGTATCCAGTCACTAAACAATAGTGTTCATGGTACTGCAGAGATAGGTATGTCAGGAATCTGTCGTTTCTTAGCTCTTATGTAAACAAGAATCATCTCTCTTTCAATTCATATTGGCTAGGATCAGTTCCTGAGAAATATCAATGAGATGATGATGATGATTGTGATGATGATGATTATGATGATGATGATGATGATGATAACCAGATTTCTTTATGGAATTCCCCTTCCCATACTTGCATACCCCCCTCCCCTTTTTTCCTTGTCTGACTAGCTAAGTAGAATCGTGACTGGGAGGTGATTCATCAAAAATGAATGTGTGAATGTAAGGACCTATAAAGTTAAAGTAACCACCTGTTTCTTTCTACCTAGAGTCAATGTCTTTAAATCCAAGGGTGGTAGACTTGATAGAATTTATATTATTTATCCACGCAGTAAACAAAATAAACATTATTCAACAAATCATTTGTATTGTATAAACCTATCACTGAGGTCAAAGCTAAAGCTTATAAAAAGTAAGATACTTGACTGGCTCTTCCATCTAACTACTTTCCCCTTCTTCGTTTAACTACTTCTACTCCATTAACTTTTCTTAAATATTATATTAGTATGTTGACTTATGCCAGGCTTATCTGAGATGAGTTTATAGTTTTTGAATCCAAGCTCACCTGGCTTTGATATATATTCTATTGCGTAAATCTGTTTTCCACTACGCACGTTGATTTGCTTCCTGAGCTCTGATTGGGTGCGCATTTTTCGCTTCGCAAAAAGTAGAAACAGTTTGAACTACTGATTTCGCTGAAGCAAAAAACCCCGATAGAAACGTGAATGCACCTGCACATAAACCAACACTTTCGATTCGCACAAATAAATTCGCCCAGTGGAAAAAGCTGGCTTAAGTTGAAAATTGCTGTGCTAACCCTCCATAGTAAATTCTTTTGGCAATTGAATTTTTATGTGCTATATTTACAGAGGTGAATCCGGAGCTGGTAAGACCGAAAACACCAAAAAGGTGATACAGTATCTAGCCTACGTTGCAGCCAGCAGAGGCGCGAAAGCCGGTATAACATTGACTCCACAAGCTTTACAGGTAAAGCCCATTAATTAATTACTTCAATTAATTAATTAATTGCTAATCTATGTTAATTTTCAGGTATTATGTACAGTTTTAGAACAGTCTTGGAAATAAATGTCATATTTAACAGATGCATTTTTTAACAAAATTATTATTAGTGTTTGCATTTATACATAGATTATCATTGAACACTTTAAATTGAATAATTATAATTTCTTTTTTCTTTAATGTTGGACCTACTCATTGTGGTAGTAAGGGAATTGATGAGGGCACCCCTCTTCCTCAATGGGAGGTGCCTCTTCCGCAATGGGAGTTGCCTCTTCTGCAATGAGAGGTGCCCCTTACGCAATGGGAGGTGCCTCTTCCGCAATGGGAGGTGCCCCTTTAAAGTGTTTAGACAATCAGTCTGATCAGTCCAATCTCTCATGTTGTGATTTTAGTCATCGACTCTAGTAACTGGTAATTAGTTTCACTCAAAAACTTTTAAAAATTACTATTTCAAATCTTTTTCCAAAACTATAAAAATAATATTATACAGTATATATAACTTTTAAAAGAATTAAACAAAAAACCATTCACTTGAACCTATTATTAAAATTCCCCTCTCACAAAAAAAGAAAATAAAATTATTGACAGGTAAAGACAAAGGTAGGAGAACAACCCATATTTATTATTAATAAATTTGTGATAATATTTTTCTCAAAACTTGCTTGCCCACATGAATAGTAATGGGACTTAAACATTGTCCCAAAAATTTATAATCTCATTTTTTTTTATGCCTGAAAGGTACAGGAACAAGCCCTTAACTTTTCGAAAGTAAGTAGGTGGGTTCCTGATTTGTTCACTTTGAACAAGATCAAAGGGAATAACCAATTTTACCTGGAGACAGGTCCTTTTATCATTGCTTCAAGATTTGCTATTATTACAGATTTAAACATTTCCATTTGACTAATAAAATTTTTTCAATCAATTTCTTTCGCTCACGCTTTCTATATCTAACCATATAAGGGCGGTAGCATTTTTTCACCGAATATTTTGAGTTTCTGTATTACAGTAGTTAGTTTTTGATTCACTGATCTAGTTTTAATTGCTTTTGGTTTATTGCGGATCAAGGTAATGGGCTAGTACCATACACACACACACACACCAATATTCCAAGGTAGCATTAGGCTAGTATTATTGCCATTAGCCCTAAGCAGTGGGTTAGTAAAAACACTAATAATTCTAGGAACACTAGGGCTAGTATAGTCGCTGCTCGTCCCAAAAATAACCCTAATCCTGTCACCATATTAATCGTACAGTTCAAATTAATCCCCAGTTGTAGTGGGCTAGTACAGTCACCGTAGTCTATGGTCCATGCATGTTCATCAACGATTCCCTCCCATACATACTTTCGATGTAAAATTTATTGTTAATTTTTAGTAGGACAATAGTTGTAGAAAATTACTCATTTAAATTTAATTTCTCTTCTAGGAATATTTTAATCATTTTGGCTCCTCATACTGACTCTGGTATACTACTGTTGTACATCAGTTCCTTTGATGGGAATATTCTGTTGCCGCAGTACTGTTTTAATTGGCGTACAAACCAAATTTTATAGCCCACCCGCGAAGCCTTGCTAGCAGAGACCAGAAACCCATCATCTCTTTACTATTATCATGTCGTTGTGAAGTTAATGAGACAGTTATATCCGAGTCAGTATGACTATGCCGTTAGAATTACATTCATGTTTGATTTGATCCGGTGTACTATGATTTACGATCAGTATTGTCACTTTTGAATCATTAATCCACAGCATTTTTAAACATCCTGATTTGTCACTCCAATCATTGGTATATATTATTACATAGTACTGTAATATCTTTGGTCTCTTCTTTTACATAATCATCATTTTTTTAATCTTTTTTATTCACTTGCAGCTAAAAATTTTACAGATGGAAGTGAGTTTATGCAAATTAATTGTTAGTTTTCAGAGCATAATAAGATAAAAAAAAAGTTTGTTCGGCTGTCATAAATAGGTATTTTTGTTAATGTTTTTAATTTTATAAGTTTATTTTATTTAGTTGGATTGTACAGTAGCATGATTACTTGTTTTGTGTAAGTGTTTTATTAGTGAAAAATGTCGATAAGTTAACCCTGCTGATTATGCAAATTACAAAATTCTTCAGTTTCGCAAATGTTATACTGAATGTTAGTTGTCCTACAAATCGTACCTTGTACAGAACTTACCAACGCAGTTTTGCCTTGACAAAAGTCATGCGAGAATAGCAAAAGGTAAAGGCCGTATTCAATAGTGAACAAAGGGAAATGAGTTGTTAGCCCATCGAACTAAGCCTTGGCATTGTGTGGTAGGGTGGCCAGTTCCTTTCTACGTCGCTTTTTTGCCCCCCACTTGTGAACCAGGTACCCATTTATACTCCTGGGTGGAGAGATACAAACATAGTTTAAAGTGACTTGTTCAGGAACACAAGTGAAATGCGCAGCAAAGTTTTGAACCTTGAGTTTGAGAGACCGATACACAACCGCTGCCGCAACCATGGGAACAGCATGTTGTGCAATTACTTATGTAAGGATTAACGTAAGGGTGCCATGTCAAATATGGCACGTGTGTACGAGACTGTCTCTTAATACACATGCTCATCAGACTATCACTCAGTACACATGCTCATTAGACTTTATGTTAAGCTCCGCCCCTCAGAAATTATTTCCAAAGTTCCACAAAACAACAGTGTACTGTAAATGTACCTTAAATTTGTGTTTGTGAGAAATGCATGTATTCCGAGCCCTTTTCTGATCGATCGCTTGTTATTTTTATGAATCCCTGGGCGTAAATGCGACTGCACCAGTGTGCATATTATTTCATTCGGGTTTGTAGAGCGCTCTCAATTTTTATCGTTAATTTGTTTCATTCGATTTTGCCATAATCAGCAGAGTAGAACTTGTTTCTCAATCTTTTCTCCATTTGGTATGTTTGTAAATGCTAAATATTTGTCTTGAAAAAGAAGTACGAACAGTTTATTTTTAATCTTTTTTTTTGTTTGAATATTCTTGTGTAAAAAAACAAAAACAAATTGTGATTCAAATGCAAGTTATAATTTGCAGTAAAGATTGCTATTGATATAAATTTACATCTTGTGATTTTACAGGTAGACATATTGATAAAATATGTTCATAATAGGTCATCTTTTGTTTTTTTTTCCATCATTTTAAAAGTGACAACCTTTTCTAAAGTTTCAAAAGTGTGCAATTACATTATTATAGTTTTCATTTTGAGATATTTTGTTTTCTTGATAAAAAAAAAAAAGGTACCCAAAATGCTGAACATGTTTTGTACTATCATGAATTAAAATAGTGAAAAAAAAAGATGACCCTAACACAATCTTTATTTTAAAAATATTGTTATGAAAGTTTATCAGTTGTGTTACATTCCTTAAATGAATATTTTGGTTGATACTTCAACTTTTCTCAGCTTGTTAATCCCTATGAATAGAGTTACCAGAAAACAGTGTAAAATTTGCATGTTTATTGTTATTTCTGTAATTATTTCTGTATTTTGTGTCTTTAATTTTTTTTTTCTCAATGTCGTCATGAATAGATATATTTTGTTATTTCTATTTAGTGGCATATTCAGGAGGTACTGCACTTCTTTGCTTTGGAACTAACAGTAGTTTACCCTTCAATAAACATTTCAAACCATTTTTGGCTTTTATAACAGAACTCCTGTTTCATCATTAATTAACCGAAAACAAAGAAACGCCTAAAATAAAAAAACGTTGCCAGATCCTGATTTAGCAGCCCTCCATTTGGGATTCAGACTCCAGATCTCCTTCCTACCTCCTGGATACACCCCCTTCCCTGCTATTTCTGTATCCCATATGATAGATCTGAGACTCCCCCTGCTATTTTTGCATCCCATCTCATATACAGTAATTAATGTGTTTTATGCTGTAAAATTCCTATCCTCTGTTATGAATTCTTTGTGGTATGTTTGTCTCTCAATATTGTTTTTGTTTACATAGTTATCACCACGATATTAAGTGTTGATTTTCAGTTATCATTATGCTAATTTATATTCATTAATTATTATCACTCTTGAATATAATATATTTGTTTTTTATCATGATCACAATACAGTAATCATCTTTACCTTTGTTTGTATAAATCATATTTTTTAGAATTAAAAATGTATCATTGTTCATTAGTCTTCATTAAAATTAACTGCATGGATTAAAATAAATCACATTTTAAAGATGCTGGCCATAATGAAATGAAAGAAATAATACATTCTTTTTTGGAGTGGAGTGCCTGCATTTATAACCCAAGGTTCTAGGTCCAAATCTAGTAAAACTCTATATTTAATAGTAGTAGTTCTTTATACACATTTTCATAAAATAGACCAATCAATTCTGGATTTTGAAGGAAATTGTAAAAACATGCAAAATATACAATAATAAAAATAAATTAAACAAAATTTGTAAGTGTAATTTGCTTGAGAATGGTTGTACACTTAATGAATGATAGCGTTTCATTTTAAAAGGAGAACTTTCAAAAACTTTATTTTAGTGATATTCTATCGAGAGATTAGCCTATAACTAGGTCATAATATTGTTCATTAGTACATTGTGGGTTTTAGTTAAGTTCAACATTTATTCAGACACAAAATTCAGTAATAATCAAAGGATATTTTTAAAAAAAAGCCACAATTAGCCTCAACTTCTCCTTTTACAGAATAAGGAGATTAGTAAACATAATGGATTATATACAACAGTTCCAATTAACTAGAATATGAATAAATTGTATGTTTTCGGTGTTATTAGCTGTAAACTTCCTCGCTTCATAGTTCAGTCGTGTACATAAGCCTATTCCATCCAATTCTCTAAGCCTATTGTAAATCTTGGGTACTATAAATAGCAAGCTAGTGTCTACTTTAACACCAACCTATTAGTATACTCCCAGCATATATTGTTGTAAACAATAAATAACATAATCAAAGGTTGATACTCATGCTATTAGTTTAGTAATGCGTTAAAAAAATATATTTATTTTTATTATATTTTATTAAATGATGTAATTTTGGAAATGATTTTAAATATTGTTTTAAATTACTAATTTTATATTATAAATGCCAGCTTTTTTAATATAATGCTCTATAATATATATGGCCCATATGTTAAATGCATGTATGTTGTAGGTAACTAGCCTATAGTTTACTAGTCTAAAGGACATTTCCGCTAAGCCCGCCCCCTTGTTGCTAATTGATCCACGAGACAACTGAAGACCCACAAAAAACATAATGCAAGCACATGTGTTTGTGGGATATTACGTGTGTTTTTGAGACACGCACATAATTATTCGTGGCCTTCCTCTGATTGGCCAGTTTGACTTGATTGACACTCCCGAAAGTTCAATTAATCAGTGGCCCTTAAAAACATTAATACGATCATAAAAAAATTGTAGAAATATATTAACATAATGATTTACCTCACGTTAACATCTCCATTAAAACTACACAATTTTTTGTTTCCCCATATTAATTTCAATTATAGGGGAAGTATTGTAGCTGCAATAAAAGCTACTTTCAATTCACTTTAACAATTTCTTTTTTCATTTCAGAATTAATATTTACATAATAGATTCATAATAATGTATAAGAAACACACAGAAATCATCTATGTTATGAAACCGGAACATGTGTTTATACTACATTGAAATTGAATAGAAACCAAAAAAAAAAAAGATTTAAAAACAAGCAGAATGGGAGAAAAGATAAGTTGCGTGGGAGAGATAACTGAGTAGTTATTTTGTATCATTTTGAATGACAGAATATAAATTCTACTTTTTATATTTTTTATCCTTTTTAAATTTAAAAAACTTTTCAACTGATGTACATAAATATTATACTTTACTGTACCTTGTTTTAGGAATAATTTCGAAAAAATATTCTGTAGTTGGATATTTTTAGTAACGGCTTCATTAACTAACCAAGTCTGTGTGTTTCTTGAATTTGACCCCATCCTAATTTGCATATACATGGGGTTGGCACTGCCACCATTTTTACTTATTTTGTTCACTCGCACCATTGTATTAACTTCGCATCATATTCTTTTCCCATCACAATACAAGGCGGCAGGGGGCCTAGGTCGAGGTGCTATCGTAAGTATTTCACTGCCTGGTGTTGTACAGTACATCCATATACTTATAAGGCCCCATAAAAAAAATTATTAGTTTATCATCCTATCAAGACCAAAAAACTGATGAGGGAGGGAGGGAGTTTTTTTTTTTTTTTTTTTTTTTTGG